ACACAGAGTCAAAGCAGCTCTATGTAATACATAGAAACAAACACAGGGAGGCTGCCAAAATAAGACAAAAAAGGAATGTGGCCCAAATGAACAGACCCAAACTCCAGAAAAAGAGCTAAAGGGAATAGAGATAAGCAATCTATCAGATGCAGAGTTCAAAACACTGGTTATAAGGTTGTTCAAGGAACCAAGTGAGGATCTCAGCAACATGAAAAAGACCCAGTCAAAAACGACGGATACTTGAAATAAAGAACAATTTACAGGGAAACAAAAAGAGTGGATGAAGCCAAGAAACAAATCAATGATTTGGAACATAAGGGGAGAAAAAAATCAATCAGTACAACAAAAGGAATCCCACCAAAAATGAGGATACTCTTAAGCAGCCTGTGGGATAACTTCTAGTGGTCCAATATTCACATCAGAGGGATGCCAGAGAGAGAAGAGAAAAAGCAAGAAATTGGATATCTATTTGCAAAAATAATGAAAGAAAACTTAACCTAATTTGGTGAAATAAACATGCAAGTCCAGGAAACACAGATTCCTAAATAAGATGGATGCAGAGAGGCAAGAGACATTGTAATTTAAAATGCCAGAGATAGGTAGCCCTGGCTGATGTGGCTCAGTGGGTTGACTGCTGGCCTGTGAACTGAAAGATTGCTGGTTCAGTTCCCAGTCAGGGCACACACTTGGGTTGTGGGCCAGGTCCCCAGTTGGGGGCATGCAAGAGGCAACTGGTCAATGTTTCTCTCCGTCTCTCTCCCTTTCTGTCTAGAAATGAATAAATAAAATCTTTCTTTTTAATGCCAAAGGTTAAAGATAAAGAGAATCTTAAAAGCAGTAAGAGCAAAGCAGATAATTACACGCAGGGGGGTTCCCATAAGGCTATCAGCTGATTTCTCAAAAAAAAAACAAAAACCAACCCTGCAGACTAGAAGGAAGAAATTGGCAAGAAATATTCAAAGTCACGAAAAGGAGGGGCCTACAACCAATATTACTTTACCCAGCAAAGCTATCATTTAGAATTGAAGGGCAGATAAAGAGCTTCCCAGACAAGAAAAAGCTAAAGGAGTTAATCATCACCAAATTAGTATTATAAAATATTAAAGGATCTTTTAAGAAGATCAAAACTATGAACAATAAAATGGCAATAAGTACACATCTATCAACGATTGAATCTAAAAAACAAAATGAACAGACAAAGATGGTTTTGATGGATGTCCGATGCGAGGGGAGTGTAGGGGACTAGGTGAGGTGAGGGGATTAAGAAGTACAATAGGTTATTACAGAATAGCCAAGGGGACGTGCACTGTTGGGAATGGAGCAGCCTAAGAATGTGTGTATACTCATGACCCATGGACATGGAAAATGGGGGGGGGGTGCCTGAGGGAGTGGGGGATGCTGAGTGAAGGAGGTAAAGGAGGGAAAATTGGGACAACTGTAATAGCATAGTCAATAAAATATAACTTAAAAAATACTCCATGGTGTGTGTGTGTGTGTGTGTGTGTGTGTGTGTGTGTGTGTGTCTGCATGTATATCTGTCACATGTTCTTTATCCATTCATTGACACTTGGCCTATTTCCATGTCTTGGCTGTTGTGGATAATGCTGCTATGAGCATGAGGTTACGGGTATTTCTTTGAGATCCTAACTTCTTTTCAATATATACCTGGAAGTGAAATTACTGGGTCATATGGTAATTCCCTTCATTTTTTTTGAGGAACCATCATACTTGTTTTCAGACTACACCTATTTACGTTTCCACCAATAGTGCATGAGGGTTCTCTTTTCTCTACATTCTCACCAACAGTTGTTTTGTCTTTTTTTTTTAAAGATTTTATTTATTTATCTTTAGAGGGGAAGGGAAGGAGAGAGGGAGAGAAATATGCATGTGTGGTTGCCTCTCGTGCGTCCCCTGCTGGGAACTGGCCTGCAACCCAGGCATGTGCCCTGACTGGGAATCGAACCACACTCCTTTGGTTCGCAGGTTTGTGCTCAATCCACTGAGCTACACCAGCCAGGGCAGATTTGTCTTTTAATAATAGCCTTCTTGACAGATATGAGGTGATACCTCTGTGGTTTTGAGTTGCATTTACCTGATGAGTAAGTTTTGATGTTGAACATTTTTTTTTCATGTACCTGTTAGCCATCTGTATGCCTTCTTTGGAAAAATGTCTGTTTTTTCATTGGATTGTTTTGGTTTTTGCTGTTGAATTGTGCGAGTTCTTTGTATTTTTTGCATGTCCCCCTATCAGATACATGATTTGCAAGTATTGCCTCCTAATCAGTAAGTCGCCTTGTCATTTTGGTAGTGGTTTCCTTTGCCAAAGTGAGGAAACTTTTTAGTTACATATAGTCCTACTTGTTTATTTTTGCTTTTGGTTATCAAATCCAAAAAAATCATTACCAAGGCAATGTCAAGGACCTTACTACCCTATGTTTTCTGAGTTTTCAAGCCTTACATTCAAGGGGAAGAATAAGACGAAGATGTCACTCCAGTGCTTGTTGATCAGATCAGATCTAGAGTACTGCATTTAAACTTGGGGTATCACATTATTCTCTAAAAGGAATGTTGAAAAGCTGAGTCTTGGATAAGAGCTTCAAAGAAGCAGCATAGAGAACAAATTTTGCTAGATGATTTTTCAGCTTTTAGATTAAATGATTCTGTGGATAAACACTTTTTCTTCAAGGAAAGAAACTCGTAAGAGAAACCAATCAAGCCGTTCAGTTTTTGACCAAATATTTTTTCTTTCTTACCACTTTGGTAAACCTATAAGAATCTTGTTAATTATTTGAAAGGTAAGAAAGAGGTAATTTAATTGTCCTAAATCATGGATAGACTTCTGTATCATCTGCAGCAAGTAAAATTCATTTATTCTTTTTTCGTTCCCTCCCCTCAACCAGTTATGTGTTTGTCTGTTTCTTTTTTGGCATCTTCCTTGTAACTGGTAGGTGCTTAGGAATATATGTTCTGGTGTCAGTTTCTTTAGTATTATAATTACCGTGGAATATTATGCGGGGATTGCGGTATGATCCCAATCTGGAGAATTTGAGTCCCTTTTCTTTCCAACCTTCCATTACATAGATTTGAATTTCTGTTCCTTTGCTGCTTTTGTTATAGAAATGTTACAGAAAGATTTATTAAATGGGATGAAAGTTAGGAAAGCAGATTGTAAATAATAAAGGATTACACAGGACAAGGTAATGTTATTTCAGGTTGCAGGTACAGGCAACTTTGACCTATAATAGATTTATGCTAAACAGTTTCTATTAGGATCATGTCAGTAGCTCAGCAATCATATTTCTATCTTGTAAGTTATCTAGTACTTTCTTGGTCAGAAGTGTTCTCTCCCTGGCCTTCTAGTTATATATATTTCTGTCTACCTTATTCTTGCTGTATTTCTTTGTGTCAGACTTTTTGGAAAGACTGCCACTATTCATCAAGAATACCTTTACCTTCCCTTGTTGTGGCATCATCCGGCTGCCACGTTTTTGCGTGAACTACTCACTCGGTGTTTTTCATGTCCAAGGAGACAGAACCTCTCTAAACACTAACACAGTTCCTGTTAACTAAATACCAGCTCTCCGACTGAAGCAGGGAGTTCCACCAACCACACTCTCATCATGTATCCCCCTGCTAATGGAGACAGGGTCTCCCCATCTAGAAAAAGCTTTAGATTTGGACCAGTTTTTCTCCATTGTTTTTTTTATCTTTCTGTGTCTGTGCAGAACCTTCGGGTTCTAAGTGATCTTGTGTCGTAAAATGACACTGGCCCTAAAATGTCATGACAACAAGGTAATTTTAGATTGTGGTCAAAGCTGTGGAGGAAATAAACAGTGTGAGGTAAGAGAGCGATTGGAGGAGAAGGGGTTACTTCATGTGGACGGTAATTTGAAATGAAAATTTTGTCTGCAAAAAGGTTTGAAAATCTTGATCTGTGGGAGGATGTGGAAGTTTAAATGAAGTTGAGAAAGCATAAATTATAAGCTTAACGATTTGCAAACTTCTATTTTTAACAGTGATTTTATAGTCTCATTTTAAGGCAAAACTTATTTCTTAATGGTCATTGTCAAATTTCAGAAGCCTCATTTATCTGTCTTTTCCAGCATTAAATGAAGAAAAGTAACCTGGACTTAGATATTACATGCATTCAATATAGTTGATTCAACTGATATGTTTTAAATACTTACCTTATGGCAGGCACTGTATTTGGCACTAGGGATAAACAGATGAGAAATAAACTAGACACAGCTCTTTCCCCTGAATGCACTCAACTAAAAGAGGTTTTAGGGGTGATATAAATGATTTACCTTATCATTGACTTCAAAGTAGATTCAGTGTGGCTGTTACAGAGGGTGTTTGCTACTCACTAGTTTTAAGAAGGTATGTTAAGAATATATAAATGCTGCCTTTAAGAATGGTTTTTTTATCAATCAAACTTTCATATTCTAGTAGAGTTTTACATTCTCAATAGAAAGTGAACATAGGTGAAAAAATACATGAATCAAGCTGTTACGATAATTTTTATGCAACTGAACGGTGAAAGATCACTTGCAGTTGAGTTAGTTACAGGAAAGCTTCACTCAGGAGTTAGAATGTGTGGTCAATCTTAAAAGATAGGTATGAATAGGCAGAGAAGAAAATGAAAGCTGATTGGGGGGATGGGCGTAGTGGGAGAAATTTAAAGTATATTTAAAGGACATTGATAAACAAGCTTGACTGGAGTGAAAGGTTTGTATTGGTAAATAGTAGAAGATAAAGTCTTTTAGTAGATAACAAGATTTCGTCTGTACCATACTAGTAATATGTATGTTCCTCTAATCCTAAATTCGTTTACAGTCTATTTTAGTAGTTCTTAATATAAAAGGGTTATCACATTGTACAGTTTGCAGTTGTATCATGACTCTAAATACATCTTTGTTGATACCCCTAAATATGTTCTATAAATTTTGAGGCCAGAGTATTTAGCCCTACTCAGGTTTAAATGATGTTTTGTTTTTCAGTTACTTACACGCCAAGTCAATCATCCACAGAGACCTCAAGAGTAATAGTATCCTTCCTGAAATTTGTCTGCGAAGTTTGAAAACATCCTGACTTTTTCTTCTGCATTTTGTCTTCACATTATGTAAAAACAGTTTCATGCTAAGTTCAATTTACTATAAAGAAAATTAATAATTGGGTTTGCATGAGAGTGTAGTAGAACAAGGTACTACGGCCTGCTTTTGGTTTCTGAATGACTGAGCATTACAGCAAAAATTACCAAATCATTATGGTAGTAAGGCTCTTGTTGATGGCTTGCTTACGTTCTGTCCATATTATAAAACAGGTAGTTTTGTAGCTATCTACTAGTGTCTTTTAGCACTCTGACCTTGCTCAGCAGTAGTTAAGATGTGTTTGAAGGCTCTAAGTTGAGAATGAGGTGAGAAAAACATAATTTTTCCTCTATCATAAACTTAGATTAAGATCCTGTCTGCTAACCAGCTTCATTCCAATGACGAGCCTTTACCACTTCCTCGCAGTGCTAAAAGGATATTTGGGCCTACGTTACTAAAATCTTCTGGGGACGTTTCAGGGTCTCCCAAAACTTAGGAAAGCATCTCACCTTTTTCTACTACATTTCAAGCCCCTAAGACCTTTAAAAGCAGGTCATATAGGCCAAACGGACCTAATTCATATAAAGGACTGTATTTTTTTAAAAAAGACTATCATATTACAGAATTATAGAAATTAGATCTCCTACCTAATTTTTCATAATGCTTGCTCTGATAGGAAAATGAGATCTATTGTTTTCCTTTACTGACTGCACCACAGATATTTTTCTTCATGAAGACCTCACAGTAAAAATAGGTGACTTTGGTCTAGCCACAGTGAAATCTCGATGGAGTGGGTCCCATCAGTTTGAGCAGTTGTCTGGATCCATTTTGTGGATGGTAAGAATTGAGGCTTTTTCCCATTAACTTATTTTTTGGACCCCGAGATGCTGCTGAGTACTAGAAAGTCATTGAAGGTGTCAGCGATAGTATCTTCATAGTTCCCAGTATTCACAAAAGTCAAGTTGGTCTTATTTTTTATGTAAGTAGAGCTTAACTTTATCTTTATAAACAATGCTATAAAACTAGTTTCAGTGTCTTTCAAACAAAAATATGTATTTTTTAAACATTTAAAATTTTATTCAAAATTATGTCTAGAATATTTCGTGTTCCAAATGTTCCTTGTACCCTGTTTCAAAAGAGAAAAAATGTATGCGACCTGCAGCCATTATTAAGGTTTTGTGAAGAGAACTGCGCCTTTTAAGGGAGAGACTGCTTCACAGTCTTATTTAAGCCTAAATTGGAAAGTTGCTCCCTTTAGACTAGAAAGAAGCATATAATTATGGGGCAGCTGGGAGAAGGAGAGACAAAAAATGAGAGGTAGGTATTAAACGCTGTCGGCTTTCTGCCTCCCTGCGTAGCTCTTTCTGTCTCTCCCTATTCCTACTTCTGCTTTGGAGAAAGTAAGAAAGAGAACATGAAGGGAACCAGAACTTCTGTGCAGTTAATCTGTAGTAGGCTATGAACAGTTCAGTCTAGAAATCATTCTCTAAGACTGTTGTTCTCTGAAGGTCCCTAAGACCCTTTTAGAAGTCCCCGAGGTCATCCCCATGTGAGACCAGATCGTTCTTCATGTTCTTCAACCAGAACAACACATCACAACAGATTGAACACAGAAGCAAATATGTGACTCTAGCTGACTGCTATTAAACCAAAGAGAATTGCAGTTTTACTCTTCTCACTGAAGTGTTTTTGTTTTTGAAAATGTAGTTATTGTTTATTAAAAATGTATTTATGTTAGCATCTACTGGTTGCCCCTTTATTATTTAAATGAATTGATAAATATGTTAATAATTTCTCAGTTTTAGTGTGGCAACTATCCATAAATATAATGAACATGAACTCTGTGAGGGTCCTCAGTAATTTTTAAGGCTGAAAGTACTGAGACCAAAAGTGTGAGAATTGCTGCTCCTAAGTACAGGGTATCCCAAAATATTAGTACAATTTTTTAATAACAGAATCTGTGCTTTGGGACATCCTGCTGGAAGCAGAAAAGCTGTAAGAGGCTTTCAAAGCCATGCTGGCCTAAATTCTTTGAACTCTCTGTAGCATTCCCCAGGAAGGGAATTGCAAAGTAGAACTCTGAAGTAGTCAGGATAAGCCTAGGGTTAGATTGAGCTATGATTTCTTATAATAACTGAAGTTAGAACAAGTTGCAGGATGGGGGTTGGGGGGGGTTGGACTTAGAGTTAGGAGGTATGTGCTGTAATGCTTTGTGTAACTCTTACCCTGTACCTTTCTTAACCACCTCCGAGTCTCCATCCTTAATGTTGGGCTGGACTGGTGCGTTTCTAATGCCATTTCTGTTTGTAAGATTCAGTAATTAGAGCTAGCAAGAATTTTTCTTTAGTGTATGTTTAACTATTTTAATAAATAGTTAGGAACAAGAAGCTAATGATCATTGCAATACAGACCTCAAAGCACCTTTAAGGCCCACGCCTTGTAAAAAAAATGACAGTATAGCCTAAGAAGACAGGGGAGACAGCATATTTTAAGTACTAAAATTGCAAAACCATTAAGTTTATGAAGAAATGATATGTTTTAAAGGTGTGTTTATTTTAACTAGTGTGGGAGAGAGAGACTCAGTCAAGTCTTCAGGTTTGTCCTTTTTCAAAAGCCTTAGTAGATGAATTTTTATATTTTCTTCTAGTATCTTTTAGGTTGATACCTGGATAGATGAGCTCATCTTTTATTCCACCAAACTAAATTTTAAGATAATAGATTAGCCCAAACTACACTTAGTTGTTGAATAAATCCTTCCGAGTTGATAATGCCTTCGGAAACAACCATAGATCATTCATTGACTAGGAGAGAATTTGGCCAAACTAAGGTTATGTAAGTCCCTAAATTATTTACAGTAATCTTTTATTTATATTTTAGAGGAGAAAGCAACCTTGGTAATAAAGTTTACAAATTAAATCCCTAAATTTATTGAGGATTAATAATGCATTCTTGTAAATAGATGACATACCACTTTTCATCAAGCCAGTTACCAAACAACAGCGAGGTAAACCTAAAATTTAAAAATAATTTTTCAATTGATTAATTACTCTGTCCCTCACAAAAATTGTATTCTGGCTCTGAAAGTTATGTCTGTATCACAACCAGCCTCTCAGTATTCTGGCTTGTTCATTACATCACAGTTGCATGTGGTTAATTTCATAAAAGCAGTATCAGTAAAATGTCAGACAAAAGCAAGTAGATTCAGCCTTCTCCTCCTCCCCTGTCGTTTCCCTCTCATCAAAATCTCCCACACATCTTCCATCAGTGGTTCTCAAACTTGGTTGGACATTAAAGTTATCTGGAGACCCTTAGGAGCGAACAGTGCATCCCCAGCTTCTGATGTTGTACTGTTGGGCTGAAATGTAGTTTGGACCTTGAGAGGTTCTGTACGCAGGTGAAGCAGAGGGCCGTTACTGCCTGCCTTGGGAGAGTCTCACCTGCCTTCCTCTGACCAATAAGCAGGCCTCTGTACAGGTCTTTCAGCCATGTTTGCAATTAGTCCTGGTTTGCGTATAAAATTAATGTTTTCACTGAGCTTTTATTTTATTTTTAAATATTTACTTATTTTTAGAAAGAAGGGAAGGGAAAAAGAGAGGGAGAGAAACATCAATGTGTGGTTGTGTCTTGCGTGGTCCCTACTGGGGACCTGGCCCACAACCCAGGCATGTGCCCTGACTGCGAATCAATCCAGCAACCCTTTGGTTCACAGGCCTGCGCTCTGTCCACTGAGCTACACCAGCCAGAGCCACAGAGTTTTTTATTAATACTCTGCAATTTCTGTTAATTCCTTCCAAATAAAATGATACAGAAGATTCAAGGTGATATTACTCTTTAAAGCTAATATTTAAGCAACCATTTATTATATTTCATGTAAGTAGCCACTAAGAAGTCTACCTATAGAATATAGTGACTGAAATGCATAAAACTGTAGTAAATATTATTTGGTCTGTATCTTTGCCCAAGAAGCAGCAGCCAAAAGATTCTTTATCCCATCTTCTATATAGTCTATCCACTGTCTATTCCTTTGTTAATAAAACATCCTGGTGTGTTTATACCACTTCTGGAGACAGGAAAGGGTTTTAGAGTTGAGTTTGTCAGTCTTGAAATTTTACCATTATTGTCTAAGGTCCCCTGAGATGAGGAGAATCATTTGTACCAATGGGAAAACTTAAATGCTAAGGCAGTTACCATAGTGGTTGTGCTACTCCCAAACATCTTACAGGTATAGTATTTCTTTGGTGAATCAGGAATGGGAAGTGGGGACTGATTCTTGGTAGGTAAGAATTCAAATGGCAATGCTGATATTTTGTGTAAAAAGAGGGAGGCTGCTAAAATTATAAAAATCTTAGTAATGCAGATAGAATCTCAGCTTCTTAATACTGCCTCTTCTAGACTTTACAGAGCTTTTTTTTTTTACTCTTTCTTAATCAGGTATATTTCTTTGACCAATAATAGAATTAATTACATATTAGATAGGTTACTTAATGATAAAAGCATTTCTCTGGGAATTGCAGTACTTTGGTTTTCAGTCTTTATTCAGTTGAAGTAAAGAATAAACAAGAATATTTTTCTTTTTATGTTCTAACAGGCTCCAGAAGTAATCAGAATGCAAGATAAAAACCCGTATAGCTTTCAGTCAGATGTATATGCATTTGGGATTGTTCTGTATGAATTGATGACTGGACAGTTACCTTATTCAAACATCAACAACAGGGACCAGGTAAATTTTTACCGTCTCTTGGGGGTTATTTTACTACTTATGTAAAGTTCAGGTTCCTTGTAGAAATGAACTGGTTAAGTCCTGGATAAGTATTAAGCATAGATCTCTTGGTCTTGGTTACCAGTTTAGGTATCTTTTGTGTATTTTCAGTAGCAATAACAGCATATGAGACCTTTCCTTGAAATGTCCTTCTTAATTAAGTGTGGCAGAGCAGTGAGATCCCTGATCTTCTGACTGGAAACTAGAGGTACGACAATAGCTGCACTTCATGCTTCTGGACCACAGCACAGTGAGAAGCATGAGCTGTGCTGCTGCTACCTGAGCAGGGGCTCAGCCATGAACTTCATTCCAAATTACTTTTTAAATTACTAAGCTTTCTTCACATTTTTTTTAATTTTTAAAACCAGGTAAGTGGAAGAACTGTGACATCATGCTTTCATTTGTCTAAACTGAGAATTCTAGTAGGAGGAATTTTTTTACTTCACTCTTCCTAAGTTCCTGTTCTCTTGTCTCTTACTTTCCCACATGTGCTAATGTAGCCTTATGCAACTCTTTGCCTTTTCTGTGCCATGGTAAATTCACCTAGGCTTTGAACACTGCCCAAGAAAAAGTAATTGTCTTTACTTAAGTTAATTTGTATACCTCAACATTTTAAAAGTAATTGTGTGGGAGGGGGGTTGTTGAGAGAGAGAACAATTGCAGCAGTTAGTGTATTAAAAACAATAGTTGACACATAAACTGTGATTAAAATTAAATATTATTTATACTTTATACTGTATCATCAGAATCACCTGGGTAATTTGCTAAAAAAAGTAGAGATGCTGGAGCAGTTGCTGATTCAGTGGAATGGGGTCCAAGCACCTGCACTCTTTAAGTTTCCCAGGTGATTCTGATACATACCAAGTTGAGGGTCACCAATCTGAAGCATTTTTCTTTTTAAGTGCAAGCAGTTTATGTGTGTAATCATACCCTCCCAACCTAATGAAATAGAGTTCTATGTATACATGTGTTATTTCATCTAAGTAGTTTGTGTTTTAGTCAAGAGCTCAACTCTCGGTCTTTACGGTGATAGCTCGGCACAACTTTCTCATTCAGAACTTCCACCGTCACCCTGACTGGTGTGGCTCAGTGGATTGGGCGCCAACCTGTAAACCAAAGGGCTGCCGGTTTGATTCCCAGACAGGGCATATGCCTGGATTGTGGGCCAGGTCCCCAGTAGGTGCTGCGCAAGAGGCAGCCACACACTGATGTTAAAAAACAGAAGAGCTTCTGCTGTCATGTGATAGCAGAAAAGTAATCTAAGTTATTGTGCAGCTGGTAATGTGCTCATTGAATCACCATTGGCCCTTACATAGTGGTCTTAATTCTATATTTTGAAAAAAAATTTTAAATGATAATATTTCTACCCAAGTCAACACAAAACTAATTCTTTTTTTTTTTTTAAGATTTTATTTATTTATCTTTAGAGGGGAAGGGAAGGAGAGAGGGAGAGAAACATCAATGTATGGTTGCCTCTCATGAGTCCCCTGCTGGGAACTGGCCTGCAACCCAGGCATGTGCCCTGACTGGGAATCAAACTGCCATACTCTAGTTCTCAAGCCTGCGCTCAATCCACTGAGCTACACCAGCCAAGGCCAAAACTAATTCTTTTAGTTGCTATTTGGTCATTCTGTTTCATATCTTTAGAATATTGAAACTTAGTTTTGGGTGTTAAAAAAAAAAAAATCAGTGACCTCGCTTCTGATGATCTGGTATTTTAAGCCTGTATAAAACTTAAATTCCAGGCATACCAAAATGCTAGATAAAGAACACCACTGAAACATATCACCTACGCCACTGGGTCTCGGAGAGGACTGGTCTGCTGCCGCAGTCCGAGGAGCAGGACTGCCGTCTGTAACGCGCAGGCTCGGTGTGCCCTTCCTTCTGCAGTCCTGTTTCCTAGGCCACACAGCACAGTTCCCTGTGCCGTCTTCACTTCTCCTCTGGGTATTATCTTTCTATAGGGATTAGGAGGGAATTTTAGTTTAGCTTTAGTTGACTTATCATAGAGACTACGAGTAATAAAAATTTATGAACTTAGATGAAATCCAGTTGCCAAGGCATATGCTTATTTTAATAAAACAGTAAATTGATATTGTGGAAACAAGTGCTATTATCCGCAGAATATGGATAAAAGTACCCCCGAGTTCTGCACTCATACTTCTTGGCATTTGAGGTTCTTTGTCCTCCTCGGGAGTATAGTGAATGATGCGGCAGGGGCTTATCCTCCGTGAGAGGGGTGAGTGAGTGACCAACAGAAGGTAGGGAGGTAATAGTGAGTGATCAGCTTCACTAGTTGATTCTCACAGATAGTAGAGAGGCTTGCGGAATTTGCCGGTCTAAAACCAAGTTTAGTATTTAATAAAGAAAACTGGGATGAAAGAATGATAGACTCTTGCCATTACCATCCTGCTTCATTGTCTGTAGTCTGCTCTCTTCAGACGGCACTTTCCATGAAACTCCCTCTTCCTCTTTTGAATTGATAACCCTAGTCATCCTCAATGAAATGTAATCAATCCCAGGTGTTGCTTCATTCATCTCCTTGATTGGAGTTTTCTCTCTTCCTCTTACACTTTGGTCTCCATGGCTCTCAGATTGGACTTCTGCTTGAAAATCCACGACTGTTCTTTTTCATGGGAGATGGGAAGCTGCTTCTTTAATGCGTAATAGGAACCATTCCCCTATGCTCTCACCCCTGTGGTCGGAGGTGGAGGCGGCAGTTTTAATGACAGTAAATTCAAGGCAGGACTCTGGTAAAGCCGGGTGGTGGAAGGGCAGACTTCGGATTCACGGCCTGCATTACCTGGTCGCATTAACTGTCTAGGTATATATTTTTTTCAATTATAAAAGTGAGAAACTGGGCTGAAGAATTCCTTGCAGTAATAAAAATCAAATTCTTCCCTGAAACAGGTCTCTTAGCGCCTTGAGGGACGGCCAGCCCTGTGTTACTTTGCAGAGCAGCCTTCTTACCTTAGTTACTCCGTTGCTGAAAGTCTGAGAAATCGCTTTCTTTTTTTTCCTCTTTAAGATTCCAGTTTTTTCTCTAATCACTGTGTTCTGTGCTCTTTCAGTACAACTTCTCTACTAAATCGAGATTCATAACGTGCTCATCTAAGCTGGGTGTAGTAGCTGTCTACCTTCGTGGCTTCCTTTCCTTGGAGCAGAAATGCTGTATCACCTTAACATAACGTTCATCTGTTATTTCAAGTGTATTCCAGTTATTATTGTTGTACAAGAAACCACCCAAAACGTAGCGGCTGGAGCAATTCATGAATCTGCAAGTTGGGCTGCTCTCAGTGAGGGAAGTGCATCTCGTATTTCACTGGTATAGTCTGGGGTAGATTTCACTGAGTGTTAAAGGATCTGCTTCCCGAGTGGCTCGTTCATAAACCTGACAAGGTGATACTAGCTGTCAGGTGGAAGCCAGGCAGGGCCCTGAGTTCTTCTCCACCTGAGTCTGTCTTTATGTGCGGATTTTTTTTCACAGGAAACTTGGGATTTCTCACAGCATGGTAGCGAGGTGCTAAGCACAAGATTTCAAGAGACAGGAAATGCTAAGTGCCAGTGTCTTACCAACACAAATTATTTTAATGAAACTTTTTTTGATGCCTACTGTATGCAAAGCACTGGGACATAGAGGGATACACAGAGGAAGGGCACATAGGCTGAGCTCTCTCAGTGGAGGTGCGCCTCTGTTGGGGCAGTGCAGTGACACTGAGGATGAGCAGATGTGCAGGGGAGTGAGTGCTGAGTGTGGACTGAGAATAAGAACAACCAGTCCCAGTGTTTCAGACCGAGCTACTGATTATGTAGCGTGGGAGCCCCTTGAATATTCTGTCCGTGGAAGACATCCAGGAAAGGCACTCTTAAGTTTAAATAATTGCAAAGAGTGTAATTTCCCATGTATTATATTAACATTTCAAAATAAAGCCATTATAGCCTTCTTTTAAATGTACTCAATAAAACCTAAAAGTCATACCGATTGGATACCTACCGTCACTTGTTTAAAAAATACAAAAGCTCTTCAGTAATTTTTTGAAGTCTTACATGGCTCTTTTTTTCCTCGTCGAACTACTTGTATTCTACTTTCCCCACAAAATTTTTTCATAATGTAACAATAGTGTTATGCTTTAAAGCCTTCAGTTGATCACTTAAGTTACATCTTTGCAACAACAAAATAAGTTGTTGAACTTATTTAACTAAGTTGTTAAATAAGTTTAACAACTTACTAAGTTGTTAAGTACTTACTTACTAAGTACTTAGTAAGTACTTAAACTTAGAGTTTAAAATTTTTCTGTTATTTTTATCAACTCTGAATGTTAATTTTTTTAGTTGTGAATTATGCCATTATTAATAGCTACTAATGTGTAACTGATTAAAATAAGTTTTGATTGCATAGAAAGATCAAAGGTAAAATTTTATTGGAAGTGTGTATCTTAATGAGCAACACAGGGCTTTTCGATTCATTTATGTATCTGGATAAACACAACTTTTGCTAGCATGAGCTGAGACTTAGCATCAGTCCTTCGTGTTATTTTTAAATAAGCACTGAGAAGTAGTGTTCAAATAAGTAAGAAGATGAGAAAATCAGGGGTTTTGTTATAATTGTAGGCAGAGTTCAGTGTTCCCCAAGACCCACCTTCAGGTTCAGGAATTCATTAAGTCTCACAGAACTCACTGAAAGTTGTTAATTACTGCATCAAAAGGACACAGATTAAAATCAGCCAAGGAAAGGCAAGCATGGAGCAGAGTCCACAAGAGTCCTGCATGTGGAGGTTCCAGTCACCCTCTCCCAGGGGGACTCTGGACAGCACTAAATGCTCCCAGCAGCAACGCGTGACAATACACACAAAGTATTGCCAACTAGAGACACTCACTCAAGCCCTGGAGTTCAGAGTTATTATTGGGGCTCAGCCGTGTAGATATGCATGATGACCTCTGCGGCCCACCTTAGTCTTTAGCTCCTCCAGCGGGCAAGCTGATACCATGTGAATTTTTGCCCCCTCTATAAATCACATTCATAGTACAGACTGTCTGGCATCTCCCAGGGCCCCCAAGTAAACAGAGACAGAGAGGACATTCCAAAGAGTTAGGGATTGCCTCCCAGGAGCCACAGGCAAAGGCCAGCCCTCTATATATATGGGCAAGATTAATTCTTTACTGTACACCATACCACTCTTTATTTGAACATTATTTCTTTAACATACCAAAAATTACACAATAACTTGTCATTAATCATTATTTTAATAATCAGCTGACAATTCAATTCATTTTGCTGAAAGCAAAGAATTGGAAGCCAGCTGTATTGTAAAGGGAATGTTACCCCTGCATTGGAGCACAGTTAGACATCAGTATTTGGAAGTGTCCCTTTGGTACCGCAGCAGTTTACACCCTGGTGTGCTGTGTACTATAGTGAATTTCTGTAGTGGTGAAAGGTAACTTTTGTAAAGTGGGAAAAGGAGGACAAGCTTCATACCTTCACTTTAGTGGTACTTAGGCAAATCAGCTTATAGTTAAACAAGGCTTATTATAGCACCAAACAGGAAGTAACAAAAAAGTAGGATATCAGTCTCGATTTTTTAATCAGCTCTGCCCTGTAAGAAGAGCTCTCTCTCACTGGCTCTCTCTACCTTGGCCTCTAATCTGTCCCTATTTGACCTGTTCCATCTGAGAGTAAAAACCCTCTCTCCTCCCTGAGTCCCAAGACTCCTAACATCTGTGTCTGTCCACTATCAAAAGAGCTACAAATTAAGAAATTACAAAAATTATAAATCTCTGCACCCAGGGAAGACAAGTCTTTTGACTTACTAAAACGGAAGATTTTAGTTTTCTCTGGAGGTGGTTCTAATGCCCCATTAGAATTTACTCAACGAAAGAGTTTAAAATGCGGATGTAGAAACAACTGCTAAAAAGGTTAACTTTTTGGTTCTGATACATACACTATAAAGGGTTTAGTGTGATGCCCAGTAAATTATTTAAGTAGGAAAGAAGCTTATTCCGACAGTGACCCTCCCAGTGGGAAATGGAGGAGTAGGGATTAGAGCATGGAGAGCAATTAGGAGACCTTCATTGTAGCCCACAGGTAATGAAGATTTCAGCTTGCAGCCCAAGAAGTATTGTTTCCCAGTCTGTATGTGGGCATCAGAATATTAGCTCCGTGTTTTTAAATTTTTCATTGATATGTAAGGTACATACAGAAAAGCACATGTCTTAAGTGTACAGCTTGTTGAATTTTCAGTGTTTATCTATTTTTCAACTTATCTACGAGTTTTTTGATTTGCCTTTTTTATCTTCCCAGATAATTTTTATGGTGGGACGAGGATACCTAGCTCCAGACCTCAGTAAGGTACGAAGTAACTGTCCGAAAGCCATGAAGAGATTAATGGCGGAGTGCCTAAAAAAGAAAAGAGATGAGAGACCACTCTTTCCCCAAGTAAGAAAAAACTTTGTTATCTAAGAGGGCAGACTAATATTGTGATGCAGATTTTTTAAGCATTTTTGAGAGCAAATAGTTTGTATTTCATGGATTTCGATTTTGTGTGATTATGTGTGGACTCCGGATAAGTAAACAAAAAGACTATTTCATAAAGGTTGAACAGTGGTACACCTAGGAACTTGGGATCCCAACTCAAAATGTTCAGAGTTTGCTTTTGTCTAGCCATTCTCAAAAGTTAAGTTTTTGACTAAGTTTTGTAAGTATTTGTCATTTTATTTAAACAGCATAAAACAGTTATATGTTAAATAATATTTTTATGAAAAATAATTGTGTTCCCCCCCCAAAAAAATAGGGAGAAAAGTAGCATTGTTTTACATTTTTGTAAATCTCTGCAGAAAGAAGACAGCTGGATTCTCTGGTTTGAATTCACTGTGATGCACTGTCTTATATCATGTAGCCTTTGAAAACTCCACTTACACAGTAAAATAATGGCAGTAACAGAGGCAGGTAATATCTTAGTGCTGTGATGAAAATAGGTTTGTCACAGACCACATTTAAGTGCTGCTTTAATTCTTCTTGATGGTGAACAGATTACAAACTTCCCTTTAATATACGTATTTTTGAGGGGCCTTTCTCTGATTTTTAGAAATTTTTCATTTCTTACCTGTATATGTTATAATTAAGGGTAAAGCTCTTAAGTTCATAATCTTTCAATTAGCCTCACAAACTGGAACTGAGTACCTGAATAAGCTTAGAAAGTTGTAGCTGTAATAGATATTGTAATGTAATATCCCACTGGTAGCATTTTTCAATGCTTGGGAAGTTGCTGCGAGCACTACATAAATGTGTGTCAATCATTCAGTGTAGTTTTCAAGTGCTGGCTCCCATAGTTACTCAGCTTTCATGATTACTGAGTTGGTCCTTTTCTAAACCTATGCCTTTGAATACCCAGTCCTAGCTGAGTTTCTTAGACAAAGGCCACTGTTACAGGAATGAGTGAATCTTTCATTCCCATCTAAAAAATTAAAGGTAGAATTTATAGTTTTACCAAGTTTCTTGGGGGCTGTCTCAGAGTGGGGAGGGGAGGTTAATTGGTTGGGTGGGTAGCCACATGTTTTACAAATTGGAATTCTAAGTTATGGTTCTTTTGAGGAAGAGTTGTTTTCTTAACCCATAAAATGACTGCTTTCAGACTATTAAAGTAGAAGATCAGCATTGTTGGCCACTGTCAGTGGGACCCCACACCTTGTTCTCTTCACATCCAGGGGCTAGGATTTTGTAATTGAACTGGTTGATGTACATTAATAATGCCAATTAGAGACTTAGGCCCACTTTTTAAAAAGGTATTAATGGGACAAAATGTTCATATTCCTAAATATAAATAACATTTCATTCTTTTCATGGTATCAGAAAATGAAATGCACATGTGAATTTTCTAGATTGTCAAAAACTTCCTCTTCTAAGAATTATTTTTTAATTTTCATTAGAGAATTTGTTTTTATATCTTATGCAAACTTAAATTTCAAATGGCCAAAGGTTTACATATAAAAAATAAAACTGTAAAAACATGAAATCATTTTTATAGCCTTGAGGTAGGAATGACTTTTCTAAGCAAAAGATAAAATCCAAAAGTTATAAAGGAAATGATTAGCAGGTATGACTTTATTAAAAGTTTTTAAACTTTTATATAGTAAAAAATAATATTGAAAGGTAAACAGAAAAATAATTATAGCATGTATAACAAAAGTTAAATATTTTTATTGTACAAAGGACTCCTTCAAATCAATGACTAAAAGATAATCAATAGAAAATTAAGCGAAAGATATGAACTAATGATTCACAAAAGAAATAACACATGGTAAATGAACTTTAGGACAAAATGTTCAGAGTTCAAGGGTAATCAGTAAAATGCAGAGTAACATAATAGTGAACTGTGTTTTATTTCCTGCCTCAGATTGGCAGTAGCCAGCATGGAGAACAGTGTTGGAAAGTGAGGAAGAAAGAGCCTTTAAAGTTTTTTAACAGTGTTGGGGGAATGTAAATTGGATAGGCCTTTTAAAAGGACTTTGTAGACCCCATAAACTTAAAATACACATACCCTTTGCTCTGACAATTGCACTCCTAAAAACCTCTACTGCCGAGCCTGCTTCCCCAGGTATTCAGGTATGTATAAAAATGTTTATTTATTGTAAACGGAAAAATTAAAGACATAAAGATTGGGATAGATCTATAGGTGGCAAGGATATCAGTAAGGGGAAAAGCAATGAAGAAAAAGGTGTGTGTGATGTCACTATAAATTATGGTGAATTTGGGGGTGGGCTCTGCTTTCAAATGTGCATGTTTATGCATAGGAAAGGTCCAGAAGGAAGAATAGACTCCTTAACAGTGGAAGGTAGGATTTATACTTTTCTATATTGTTTGAATTTTGGTTTGTGTTATACTGGTAATTTTTAAGAAATTGTAACATTGCTTATTTCTTTGCCACCTTACAGATTACAATGTAATGGTAGCTCAGAAAAATAATAGTAGTAGTAATAATAATGCTGCTAAAGTTTGTTGAGCACTTACTATATGCCAGGCACTGTGCCAAGCCCTTTATACATGTGTCTCATGATTATGTTCGAATAGTACCACACTGTATAATGTAGGAGACTGTTCTGCATGGTATGGGCCCAGCTCCCACTTGGAAAGGCCAGTGGAAAGCGAGGTCTGATACAAAGGACCCACACCCATGGATAGGTTTCCCTGTGGGGAATCAGGCCTGCAGTGTACCCTGGGCTGCTTTGAGACTTGCTTTTTGCTAAAACTCCCTCACCCTGAATTGAGGCAGAAAACATTTACTGCTATCTTTAAAGTAACTTCCTAAAATCTATGCTAAACCTTCCAAGGATGAGTGTAACCAGTGCAACCACTTTTCCCTTTGCATTTGCAAATATACTTCTGTGATATAATTAGCAACATCCTCTCCTTTGTTTTCTGTAAAATGTAACCACCTAGAGCAAACCTGTGCATAGTAAATGAGGTCCATCCTCAATGTAATGTGCCCAGAAAAGCAATAAAAAATTGTCGAGGCAAGGGTCAGGGCACTCTCCTCTTGAGAAAGTGTCCAAGGTGGTCCGAGGTGCTCTCCCCTTGATAGAGTGGCCGTGCTGTCCCTTTTCCTCCACAGGGCTCGGTAATCTGTGTGAATTTGTCTTTTCTCATCCACAACGCTGCAGACACTGCTGGCCGGTGTCCGCATCAGCATGCCTTGAACCTGTTTCTTTATACCTTAAAATATGCTGAGTTTCTGTGCTTTGTGTGTTGGTGTCTTTTGTAGAGTTTTCCGGTCTTCTTCACTGTTGGGTGGTCACCTGTCCCTTCTCACTTCTGTGCTGCTGGCCGTCTGGGTCTTTGGGGTCCTCCTCTTAATACTGTGTGTAGGAAGCTTCCCGTTGCGAAGTTCCTTTCAAGACTGAGTTGCTCTGATGGTTCTGTTATGAAGTCACATAGTGCTTTATTTAACATGCTCTCGTCTTCCCCAAAGGGACTGTGGTCTGTGAGAAATAGGCATTTAACTGGTTTAAATTTTTTTGTTATTTACTGTTCCAAGGCTGACAAATGATCTAAAAATGTAAAAAAAAAAAAGCTAATTATGGGTTAATTTCCCCATTCAGTTTACAAAGATTAAAGCTGTAAGTAGTTTGGTAGTAGTTTTTAAGGAAAAATACCAGTTTCCCAAGTATTTTTCTGGACATTTAGGTTAATACTGAAAACAGTGTAAGATTTCAGATGCTTTCCTGTATGATGGGTCTCCTAAAGATTAATACCACCTAGATTTTTATTCTTTTTTCTTTTTCTTTTTTTGCTTTTTTTTAGATCCTCGCCTCTATTGAGCTGCTGGCCCGCTCATTGCCAAAAATTCACCGCAGTGCATCAGAACCCTCCTTGAATCGGGCTGGCTTCCAGACAGAGGATTTCAGTCTCTATGCTTGTGCTTCTCCGAAAACGCCCATCCAGGCAGGGGGATACGGTGCGTTTCCCGTCCACTGAGCTGCATTGACGCAGGGGAGCGTACAGGAGGGTAGAAACAAGGGGTAATGAACATGTTTGCTCGTATATTAGTTAAATGAAATAGGACTTTTTTAAAGGTGAGCCAAAGAAAACTTAGGTTTTTAAAGACTGGATGGAATTTTTCCCAATCTAAAATTCATACTTAGCATTGGATTTTCAACCTCCAAGGATTTTTAAATGTATAGACATTGCTAAGAAATTGCGATGCCTCTTCCAGATGCTTTACTATTCCCAGTTTGTTCTGTGTCCTTGGTTATTCTAATTATTAAACTTCAATTAAACTTTTCCCAGGCACCCCTTGTCATTAGTCCCCGCTCGTCCAACAGGGTCTCTGAAGAGCAGTGGCAGTCCTGCGCGTGTGTGTGCAAGGGGAGGGTGACAGTAGGGTCACCTGTGTCAGACGGGGCAAGACCAGACAGCTCACATTCGGGAAGTCACTAGAATTGAATGGCCTTATTTTTATTCTTAATATTTTTCCTGTAACTATTTCTTTTTATTCCAATTTGGAAAATGTGAATGCCCTTTATTCCCTTAAAGCAATAAATAGACTAAATCTTTTTTTATAAATTGTGGGTACAGGTAACCAAAGCCATCATGAGGAGTAACGTGGTTTCACTTCGGATTTTTAGTGGGGAAATGTTATAAACTGGAGTTCCTTTTAGATATTTCTTCATATATTAAGGATATCTTACATATATAGTAGCTGGATTTCCTTACAAATGTCTTAGCTTACACCTGTAACTTTTTTGTGTTTTTTTTTATATCTGGTGTTCTCTCTGTTTTTCTGTGCTTCTGTGCCTTTTTTTAGCAATTTATTCTGTCACACTCTGTTTTTGTGTTCTGTGCTACAGAGTATTTGTTAGCGCTTTCTAATGCTTACACTGTCTTGTGGAGAAAATGACAGTACTATAGCAGTCAGTATATTCTTACTGCGAACCCTAATCTTACTGGGAGGCCATGTTGGTGTTACCTTATCGAAGAAATTATCATCTCTACTTCAGACTCAGCCCAGGGACCAAAATCAGCCTGTTAAATATATCTTCATTTATTCAATTTGGATTCATGCTGATTTTTAAATAACAGCTGACAGTTCTAAGTTATTAAGGCACACAGACAGCATCTGCATAAATGCTGTCTTCTTTGAAGCCAATAGAGAAGACCATTGGGAAGATTTTAAACAACTAATGATGACTTAGTTTTTAAGTACAATGAATTTTTAAAACTTTTTAGAAATTTGAATAGGTAAGATTTCATCCAGGAAAACTACTCAGTGATAAGTATGGCATATCTTTAGCCCCTAATTTGGGTAGCTTAAGATAAGTAACACCGTTCTTGTTTTTAGAAATTGATTCAGCCCTGGCTGGTGTGGCTCAGTGGATTGAGTGCTGGCCTGCTGGAAAGGTCACTGGTTCGATTCCTGATCTGAGCATATGCCTGGGTTGTGGGCCAGGTTCCTGGTTGTGGATGCACAACAAGCAACCAACTGATACTTTTTTTCTTTTGTTGTTGTTTTGGCTGTTGTCACTTTTATTTTTTAATGTTCTATTGTTTATGCTATTATAGTTTTCCCAATTTTCCCCCTTCTCCCCCTTACACCAAACCCACCCCCCACTTCCGTAGTCAGTCCCCACACCGTTGTCCATGTCCATGAGTCCTTCATGTATGTTCTTTGACACATCCTTTCACCTTCATTCACTCAGTCTCCACCTCCCTCCTCCCCTTTTATAGCTGTCAGTCTATTCTATGATTCTATGACTCTGGTTCTATTTTGCTCTGTAAGAAAGCTCATGTGGTCATTTGTCTTTCACCAACTGGCTTATTTCACTTAGCATAATAGTCTCCAGTTCCATCCATGCTTTCACAAAAGGTAGAAATTCCTTCTTTTTTTTTCTGTTTCATAGTATTCCAGTGTGTAAATGTACCACAGTTTTTTAATCCACTCATCTATTGATGGGCACTTAGGCTGTTTCCAAATCTTGGCTATTGTAAATAAATAGTGCTGCTATGAACACAGAGGTACATAAATGGTTTTGAATTGGTGTTTTAGGATTCTTAGGGTATATTCCCAGCAGTGGAATCGTTGGGTCAAAAGGCAGTTCCATTTTTAATTTTTTGAGGAAACTCCATACTGCTTTCCACAGTGGCGACACCAGTCTGTATTCCCACCAGTAGTGCACAGGGGTTCCCTTTTCCCCACGTCCCCAACAGCACTTGTTTGTTGATTTATTAATGATAACCATTTTGGCAGGTGTGTGCTGATATCTCTCATTGTGCTTTTAGACTTGCATCTCTCTGATGGCTAGTCATGTTGAGAATTTCTTCATATGTCTATGGGCCATCTGTATGTTCTCCATGGAGAAGTGTCTATTCAGGGTTTTTTTTTAATTGGGTTGTTGGTTTTCCTGGTGTTGAGTTATATGAGTTCTTTATATATTTTGGATATTAAACCCTTGTCCAGTGTGTCATTGGCAAATATGTTTTCCCATACGGTTGTTTCCCTTTTCATTTTGATGATGTTTTCTTTAGCCAGGCAGAATCTTTTAAATTTAATGTAGTTATATTTGCTTTTTTTATCCTTTATTTCCCTTGCCCTTGGAGATATGTCAGCAAAAATATTTCTCTGTGAGATACCTGAAATGTTGCTGCCAATGTTTTCTGCCAGATTTGTGTTGTATCACAACTTATATTTAAACCTTTCATTGAGTTGGAGTTTATTCTTCTGTATGGGGTAAGTTGGTGTTCTAGTTTCATTTTTTTGCACATACCAGTCAGTCCAGTTCTGCCAACACCATTTATTAAAGAGACTATCTCTGCTCCATAGTGTGCTCATGCTCCCTTTGTCAAAAATTAATTGACCATAAAGACATGGGTTTATTTCTGGGCTCTCTATTCTGTTCCATTGGTCTGTATGTCTGTTCTTAGGCTGGTACCAGGCTACTTTGATTACAGTGGTGTTGTAGTGTAGTTCAGTGTCAGGTATTGTGATCCTTCCAACTCAGCTCTTCTTTCTCAAGATTGCTGAGGCTCTTCGGGGTCTTTTTTGGTTCCATATGCATTTTTGGAATATTTGTTTTAGATCTGTGAAATATGCCATTGGTGTTTTTTTAAATATTTTATTTATTTATTTTTAGAGAGAGGGGAAGGGAAGGAGAAAGAGTGGGAGACAAACATCAATTTTGTGGTTGCCTCTCACGTGTCCTCTACTGGGGACCTGGCCTGCAACCCAGGCATGTGCCCTGACTGGGAATCAAACTGGCAACCCTTGGCTTCACAGGCTCATGCTCAATCCACTGAGCTACACCCGCCAGGGCTGCCATTGGTATCTTAACGATTAAAAATTATAGATTGCATTGAATCTATAGATTGCTTTGGGTGGTATAGACATTTTAATGATATTAATTCCTCCAGTCCATGAACACAGTATACACTTCCATTTATTTGTGTCTTCCTCAATTTCTTTCTTCAGTGTTCTGTAGTTTCCCGAGTACAGGTCTTTTACCTTCTTGGTTAAATTTATTCCTCGGTACTTCTTTGTTGCTGCTGCTGCTATAGTAAATGGGAGTTTTTCTTAGTGTCTCTTTCTGATGGTCATGTTGGTGTACAAAGATGCCATCAATTTCTGAATATTGACTTTGTTTCCCACTATGTTGCCGAACTCACTTACCTTAGTAGGTACCAAGTAGTTTTTTCGTGGAGACTTTGGGTTTTCTGTGGCGCTCTCATGTCGTTTACAAAGAGTAACAGTTTTACTTCCTCTTTTCCAATGTGGATGCTTTTTATTCTTGTCTGATTGCTGTGGCTAGGACTTGCGGTCCTGTGTTGGTAAGAGGAGTGAAAGTGGACACCCCTTGTCTTGTTCCTGATCTTAAGGGAAATGCTTTTAGTTTTTGCCTATTGAGTTCCATGTTTCTCTGCCAAATTGATGTTTCTCTCCCTCTCTTTCTCCATCCCTTTCCCTCTAAAAATAAAATAAATAAAATCTTTAGAACAAAAAATGAATAGTAACTACTTAACACACCAGCTTAAATGGCCTTTCTCTCAAGTTGGCCACTCCCTCAATTTGAGGAAATGATCTGCCCTTTTTTAAAAATACGGTATTACAAAAAGGGTATCTCATCTAAAACATTTTGTCAGTTTATATGCTTACTTACTTGAGGCATTTATTGACCATTTCTGTAGCACTTTTTATTTTACTAAGTATTTCATCTCTCCTGTGATCGTTTATCTAAAGAACTCAAGAAGTCCAGTGTATCTGTGCCAGAATGTTCCTCATCCTTTTGAAACTGCTTGAAGAGTCACCACAAAGAAAGAATGGGGCTTATTCTGGTTATAAATGACTGCCCCCCTCTTTCTAAAGTATGATTGATTTATCAGTGGGGGGCACACACAAGAGGCAACCACACATTGACGTTTCTCTCCTTTTTTTTCTCCCTTTCTTCCCCTCTGTCTAAAAATAAAATCTTTAAAAGTAAATAAATAAAGTATGATTGATTTATACACAGAATAATGTTATATTAGATTTTTCTTAGCACATTTTTAAGGGGAAATTTTATCAAATTATATGTGTAGCAGCCACTGAAAAATGCATTCAATTCTGGAATAAGAAGTAGTTATTTAGTAATACTTTAAAGCTAGTTTTAAAAAAAACCCTTAGTTTTCAGATGAATAAACCATGATATTTGAGTTATGTAAAATCGCAAGGTCTTCCCAAGTGTACTGTGCCCTATTCCTAAATAAAGTCAGATGGAAAATAAGGCTTAGGTTCTTCTCAACTAGAAAGGAGGTAAAAAAAAAAAAATTTCATTTTGGCCTCCAATTTTTCAGTAAATAATTAAAGTAATGTACCGAGATTTTCAAAGAAATCAGAGTATCTGGGTATTTCACTCCAAATAACTTCACACAAGCAGAGTTGACTCTTACTTCAAATAAAGTAAAGTAGAAAGTATGATAATAGAGCTTTCCAGATAATGCAGGAAAGAATAAGAAAAGATTTTTCCCCCAAAAAAGCAGCTTTATCACCTGTTACCCCCCATCTTTTTCTTAAATTTCTCCATGATTTCAGGGACATATATAGAAAGAGTTTATTGATCCCCAAACTGTAAGGTTTTTTTTGTCTTTGTTTTTTTTTTCCTGGGCTTGAAATCTGATTATGGAAAGAACTGCATTCTATTCAAAGCAGTATACTCTGGTAGGATGATCTTTAGTGTTTGCTGTATCAGTATTTGATTTGGACTTTGTTGGTAAGATTCTGTGCTTTGGAGGATAGTTTTGGGTGTTTTATTTTTAGTTTAATATTCAAGTTTGCAGAGTTGAACACTCTTCAACAAAATGGAGTGTCTGATTATAATAATGAGTAAGAAACTTTGAAGGTGTTTTTTTAAGTTACATATTTTTAGAGAGAGGGGAAGGGAGGGAGAAAGAGTGGGAGAGAAACATTGATGTGAGAGAGCAAGATCTATCCATCAGTTGCCTCTCACATGCCCCAACCCCTGGGACCATCCCACAACCAAGGCATGTGCCCTGACTGGGAATCAAACCAACGACCTTTTGCTTTGTGGGACAGTGCCCAACCAACTGAGCCACTCCAGTCAGGGCTAAAGTTAGGGTTTAATGGGTTATATAAGACTTGACTTAGAGTTATCATTTTCTGATATTCTCACTTAATAGATGAATTCTAGCCATTTTTCATAAAGATTTCTATTAAGTAAATCCTGTTTTACATTGGCTCCCTTTAAGGAGATTTAGATGCTTCTGAAGTGACTCCTCTTGTGAATGTTGAAAATTGCTTTAAAGAAATATATTAAAATACAGACAAAAATGGCAACCTTAAAATCATAAGGAGCTCTCAAACCATAATGAGAATGTTTCTGTATTTCTTGAGTCTCTGTTAATATTGTATCTTCCTGTGGTTATACTTCAAATATTTTACTCTTCAAGGTCTTAGTAATTTGGCTTTTTTTAAATCAGCACCAAACTTCCTAGATTTTTGTTTTAATTTAAATGAGAGGCAATAATTCTTTTACCCTTCCTTGATCTTTTGACTCACAATACCTTGGCTAATTGCTTGCTTAAAGGAATCTTTAGATGGAAAGAGATAGTGTCACTATCAGCAGTCCAGTTGGCAGTTGTATTCAGAATACAAAAAGAAATTAGTAATCACTGAACATTGTTCAAGAGTTTGTGAATTGTTAAGACCGTGCACTTTGGAGTCAGCACCTGGCTTTGCATTCCAACTCTGCCATTTTCTAGCTGAGATCTTGGGCAAGTTACGTAACAAGTGTAAACTCCATCTTGTTGCTCTGTAAATAAAGGGCAACCTACCTCATCGAGTTTTTATGAGCATCAGATGCAAACATATATGAAGCCCAGTGAGGCCCCAGTGCACAATAGGCACTCAAAATAGTTGCTAATATTAGCAACATACAATCTGAGTGGAGGGTTCACTCAGCCAGCCATTAGCAATAGGTTGACTGTTGGAATGTGCCAGTATTCTCTAGTAAACAGAATCTAATTTGGATTAAATAGTGTATTCATATAAGTAATTGCATGGCTCCTTATTAGAAACTGCTATTATTAAAGAATGATGTTAAGGCTGGCTAAATTCTGATAGTCGCCAGTTATTGACCAACCCCCCCAGAATTAATTATAGTGTACATAACAAGAAGAACCGACCTCTAGTTCCAAGTTTCGATAGAAGCTGGAGACAAAACGGCAGGTGAAAAAGAATGGTCCCTCTATGAAGCCTCCAGCTTCAGTAAGCTTAAAGAGTGTCTTACCTCAAACAGACTTTGTGGTTTAAAGAATCCTTACGCTGAGAATCGTCCAGTGACATGTGTTTGGCTGTAATTCGTTGGTAGTTGGAAAGGTGAAATGAACTAGAAGATGGGGGGTCTGGATTTTCCTTCCTTCGGTCAAATGTGTAATGTGGACAAATCATTTCACCTCTTAATTTTCTCTTTTGCAGAATGAGGATGAATTCTAATTCTTCCTTTCTAATAGTGGCATTATAATGAAAATGAGTGGATGATTCAGGGGCAAAAGTATTCTATAAATCAACCTTACTATTTTACAATCGGTGTCTATTTTGTTCATTGGAACTGTTCAGCTTGATTAGAACCATAGCATGTAAAACCCAGCTAAGAAATTATCTGCATACTTGATATTTAATTGATGTCATTGAACCCATAGTCTATGTCTTATCTAAGTTGTCTTCTTTTATGGATTTTAAGCATTTTTGCTCTTTAAATTAGCAATGATATTGGTTGATTTATAACAGATAGCTACTCACCTTTCAGCGAGGTTTCAGTGAGTCTTTTTTGTGTCTCTGGATTAATTGAGATAAAACGTTTTTTAAAATTAGCTCTTGTCCTCCCTCCACAGGAGAATTTGCAGCCTTCAAGTAGCCACACCATCATGGCAGCATCTACTCTTACTTCTTAAGTCTTGTGTTCGTACAATTTGTTAACATCAAAACACAGTTCTGTTCCTCAGATCTTTTTTTAAAGATTCAAAATTTTCAATGTATAAGCTGGTGTGGAACAGAATGGAATTTTCCATCCAAGAAAAGAGGGAAGAATGTTTTAGGAACCAGAATTCTCTGCTGCCAGTGTTTCTTCTTCAACACAAACACCATGTGCACACAAGTCTGCCCACTCCCAGGAAGAAAGAGGAGAGACCCTGAGTTCTGACCTTTTGATGGTCAGGCATGATGGAAAGCAACTGCTGCTACAGCTTGGGAGATTTGCTCTGGAAGGCCTGCCAGTCAACTGTGCCCTTCTAATCACCAGATCACTGAGTGGCTGATCATCTGATGGGGCAGGTGCATTCACCAAGCATCGTTCTCTTTCCTGTTCTGGGATTCTGTTGTGGAGCGCTTTCCCCTGGCCACCACCGGTTAATTTCCGAGGGACGGAACAAAAATGCAGCAAGCCCTTCTGTGCGGTGCACACTCAGTCCTTGACAGATTTTTCTCAAAATGAGCTATTTTATCTAAATGGAGGATGAGGGGAGACGGGGCTACGTTTTGGTGCAGAGGAGAAGGGAGTGCTGCATCTTTTTCCTGACCTGGATTTCTGGCCTTTATTTCCTTGCTCATTGAGGGTGTCTGCCTAACCAAGCAGGCTGGAAAGTGCTGGCACGCATTGCCGTCTTTGCTCATTGGGTCCAGCAATGAAGAGAAGTGTTTGGGGATTTTTTTTTCTCCTCCACAATCTAGCAAGTTCTCAGGAAAATCTTCCTCCTAAGCTCTTCCAAGTCACCAAGTACTTATGTGACTACTTTTTCCAAGGCACAAAAACGCCGTGGTGGTATCTGACTAAAAGCCTACAAAACTGCTCGATAACAGTTTTGAATGTGAGACACTTACGTCATTTAAATGTAAGGTACAAGTTTTCATTTCTGAGTTTCTTCTATTATATTTTTATTAAAAAGAAAATAATTTTCAGATTTAATTGAATTGGAATGAAATTATACTTCCCACTAGAATTATATATCCTGGAAAATTGTATTTTTGTTATATAAACAACTTTTAAAGAAAAATTACCCTTTTCTCTACCTAAATATGGGGAGTCTTAGCGTATGACAAATATTTATAATTTTTAAATTAATGGTACTTGCTGGATCCATACTAACATCTTTGCTGATATCTCTTTGTTTCTTCCAGTTTACTTCGACACTACATCCTCATCCTCTTTCTAGTCTTTTATCTAGAATATGCAACCTAAAATAAAAATGGTGGTGTCTCCATTTATTCTCCTTCTTCCTTTTTTCCCAAGCCTGGTCTTCAAAAGGTTGGGTGATTTGGCAGCTGAGTTCCCCAAGCAGAGAATAGAGTGGTTTTAGGTGTATCAGGACTGAGAGAGAGGATGTGTGGAGCCTAACATCAGTTGTTTTTGTAGAAGCTGCTGTGATACTAAGGACCTCACTCTCTGTCTTTGTATAAGTAAAAAATATAACCTAGTCCTAGCTTCCTTTGGCCTTTGATGAAGGGTGGTGTAAGTCACAGTAGGTACAAAGAAAGTGACTGCACATACTAATGGTAAATTAATGACAGATATCTTCCTTATCATGAGTCTAGAATCTCTCATCAGGATTTAGGAATATACATGAAATCAAATGTACTCAGCCCGACCAAGCTAGGTAGCTAAGGGTCTGAAAGTAATTAGACAGGACCTATAAAATAACCCAGGGAATTAGAAATCGTTTTTGGTTTTTTTTATTGCAAATTGTAACACCCCATTACCTATCTTTCAGTCTGCCAAAGCTCACTGCCATTAGGTGGTTTTTGCTAAAATACCTGTATTCACAGGAAGGCCTAACTGAAAATTTCACAGATTTGTAGAAGGCTGTCCCAGTAGGCTTCAAATATACAGAAGTTTATTAGTGCGTTTGAAAAGCGGTGTGTCCTTAAATGTTACCCAGACAGTGCAGTATCCTAACAAAATTCAGAAATTGCACAGATGGAGATGATTCGTGCTCGTTTGAAGAGCATCTTGTGCGTATAATACTGCCTCTGTGAAAAGCATTGTTTTTCTTTCTAAAGTTGGTCCCCATGGATGCTGTTAAACGTGCTTGTGTTTTCTTTACCCAGATTTTAGAGAGCTGGGCTTAAACTCTAAGCCTGTGTGCTGAGCAGGTAGAGCCTGGACCTTAGCACTGGAGGGTTCCAAACAAAATTCACACTAATACACTTTTCTCTTTCCTTTCTCTTTAAAATAGGTTGCTATCTCATTTGAAAAGAAGGAACAGACTTGATCTCAAATGCATATGTCCCCAGAAGCCAGGCTCAGGGTATTCTTGAGAGATTTTTTTAGAGCCCTTAAAAAATAAAAATAAGATTAAAATTTTTCCCTTTTCTTCCTTTTATCCATCAGATTGTTTTTGCTCTCGTTTACAACTGATAGGAAAAAGGGTTTACCTCTGAGTTTCACTTGCTTTATTTTTTGATGCTTAACTACAGACTTGCTGAGCTCCTAAGAAATACAAGGAAGAACTCCTTGATGTGCTAAGCACTTTATGAGTAATTTGTATAAATAGTATGTGGCTGCTTCACTGATTATCTTGTAAGGTTGTAGTTACCTGTCTTTTCCATTAAGTGGCTGCAGTGCCTTCTGTGGTGTATTTTACTTTGGCTAAGGAGAGGTGAAGCCTTCTGAAAAATTTGAGAGCGACCATCAACGATTGTTTTAAAAGATGTAGTATTCCTGGTGGGCTTTTTTTTTTATCGTTAAACTACAGTCAAGGGTCTAGACTTCTGCCACTGAAATAATATTGACCAAAAAGTAGTTTATAAAAGGGATTTGTGAATAGAAAAATCCAGTGTGATTATTTGTACTGTGCACCTTAGAAGGTTTTGTCTAGCTGTCAAATTCTGGCTCCTGAACGTGCAGTCCCTAATTGTATGTGAGCTCTGCTAGGACATACTAGGGCGTCCTAGAAGATAAAATCACATACGTGAAGTTACATGTTATGTTCATGTTGGTGTTGGAGAAGAAAGGGCAGTATATAGTTACAAAGAAATAATTCAGGACTTCAACACTGTCAGCCTGAAACTGTAAATAGTTCCTAGGTTCTCGTGGGGTGCAGTCACAGTGCTTTATCACACCCTGTGATCTTCTGTTCATCAGGCAACTGCTGCACACCCCTCCGCAGCCCCCCTCTCCCCTCCTGCACACTCACCCTCCACCTCATCTAGCTTTAGTCTGAAACGTACTGCAGAGTTCAGGTGACCTCTTCAAAAACTACCTCCTCGGAATGAGGTAATGAACAGTTATTTATTTTAAAGTGTGAAAAGTCAGGAGCTCTAGAACATGAAGATGATTTAGGATTTTAGCTTTTATGTGTGCTTCTATGTGAGCGCTCTCATTTCATCCATAAGGGCATTGTACATTTAAGCAGGAATACTGAAAAATGTAGCTTGGAGTGTCTAATGTCGCTGCAAGTGGTGCCAGAATCTGTTCAGGGGCACCGTTCAGAATCTCAACCGCAAGTCAGTCGCGTGCAATGAGATAGTTATGGTAGCACTTCACTAACAATGATAGAATTTTATTTTTCAGTGGGCTTGGCAAGACAGTACACCCTTGTAATGAGTTACCCACAGCTTTGTCACGTGCACAGGTACTCCGACAGACTGCCCGGCTCAGAGGGTAGAGAATTACTACCCATTTTGCAGGAGTCTCTTCTCTGTCCAAGTTGGCACTGTTAGCACTAGAAGAGCAGCACCTCGAGACTAGTGATTCCAACCATCAGGCTATTTTTTCAAAACACATGTAGCCAGACACGGAAGGTTTACTGTGAGTACGAACAGGAAATAGCATATAATCATACATCAGAATGGTGAAGGTGAGGCTCTAGAAAAATACCTTGACAATTTGCCAAATGATCTTACTGTGCCTTCATGATGCAATAAAAAAGCTAAAACATTAGCAGAAATCAGTGACTTGTGAAGAGAGCAGCCACTCTGGTCTAACTCAGCGGTGTTAATATTTTTTAGAGCGCAATTCAGACTGCAAAGATAAATGCACTAAAGAGTTTATAGCCAAAATCACATTTAAGAAAATGAAAAAAAACAGGTAAATTTTCAGTGAACAAAATTATTTTTTTAAAGCACATAATCCCTAGTATAGTCGGATATATTTATCACAGAGCAAATAGGTTGAGATTATAGTTCAGTGACATTTCTAGAGAAACTTTTTCTACTCCCATAGGTTCTTCAAAGCATGGAACTTTTATATAACAGAAATATTTGACAGACATTTTAAGAAATTGCTGTAGTTCAAGGTTGAAGTACTGTATGCTGGGCAGCAGTTGTGTGTGTTAACTTAGATGGGGGAAGGAAATTAAAATATGGGACAGAATTTGATTTTACCAGTTTCCAGAATACTGCTGCCAACCTAGACACTGATTTTGCAGAGTTTGAAATATAAACTGGCCTCCCAGGACTGGTTGGCAAATTGGACAGGACATGCTGCTAGTGCTCTCTGTGTGGGGTGCTGTGTGAGGGGGCATGGGCGTAGTTAATGGCCTGGCCGTGGGTGTGAACCGGACACACTCCATGATATGCTGCTTGTATCTTGTTTCATTCCTCACCACCCAAGAAAAGCAATAGACTGTCTTCAGCAAGTTCTCGCGATGTTTAACTAAGGTGTGTTACTGATGCCCGTAGGTCGTTGGGCACCGAGGAGCACCGTAGCACCTCTGCCTGATTTGTACATTGGCCAGCGGGGAAGGAAGCGGCCAGTGTATCCATGTTCCATGTTGCCAGCTCTGATAAAATTGAAAATGCTGGTGAGATTTTGGTTATATCAGTACACCTGACAGTAAGCTTTATTTTGTTGTATTCAGATGACTTATTTTTACTTCTGTTTGGGCCGTGACATTGAAATTCAGCCGTAAATTTTGTCATTTGTAGGAAGGATACTTAACAGTTTCTGTCAGGTATTTTTAAGGTAGAAGAAAACAAAGACTTAAGTCCTAAAACCTTAAGGTAACAGTGCTTTATTTTAAAATGCATA